AGCCTCACTGTCAGCACCACTTCCTGCTCACTCACATCTCTGTGGTTTTTACACCGTCCACAGCAAATCAAGCAACGTTTAAAGATAAGTACAAAGTACAGGAGAGAAAAGTACACGCTCAAAGTACACGCTCAAAGTACACGCTCAAAGTACACGCTCAAAGTACACGCTCAAAGTACACACTAAAAGTACACACTAAAAGTACACACTAAAAGTACACAGTAAAAGTACACACTAAAAGTACACAGTAAAAGTACACACTAAAAGTACACACTAAAAGTACACACTAAAAGTACACACTCATGCTCATGATGAGGCACAATAAATATTAGAACAACGTGACAAACTGAAGGTTTTACATCAGTGATTGTTCAGAGTCGGGACAGAAATGACTTTTTTCAGAAGTTTTCTACATTTATGGGAGTTGTTTGTGTTTGCAGAGTCACTGAACTGAACACAAATACACACAAACACATACTGCAGTACTTTACTGCGTCTGTGTTACTGTAGTACTTTACTGCGTCTGTATTACTGCAGTACTTTACTGCGTCTGTGTTACTGTAGTACTTTACTGCGTCTGTATTACTGCAGTACTTTACTGCGTCTGTATTACTGCAGTACTTTACTGCGTCTGTATTACTGCAGTACTTTACTGCGTCTGTGTTACTGCAGTACTTTACTGCGTCTGTGTTACTGCAGTACTTTACTGCGTCTGTATTACTGCAGTACTTTACTGCGTCTGTATTACTGCAGTACTTTACTGCGTCTGTATTACTGCAGTACTTTACTGCGTCTGTATTACTGCAGTACTTTACTGCGTCTGTATTACTGCAGTACTTTACTGCGTCTGTATTACTGCAGTACTTTACTGCGTCTGTATTACTGCAGTACTTTACTGCGTCTGTATTACTGCAGTACTTTACTGCGTCTGTGTTACTGCAGTACTTTACTGCGTCTGTGTTACTGCAGTACTTCACCGCGTCTGTATTACTGCAGTACTTCACTGCGTCTGTATTACTGCAGTACTTTACTGCGTCTGTAGTCGTTGTGGTTCATGTTTTTAGTACTTTTCCTGTTAAAGAGTCAAAATGAAACGACACCAGGAGGAGTTACTCTGTAAATACAGTTTGAAATTCAGCGACGACACAAAAAAGTGAAAAAATGAAATTGTGATGTCTCAGAAACTGTTACTCTGATCAAACTAAAATTTTGTGTTTTGTGGCTGATTTCTCCAAACACCAGTGTTGTGTGGGTTCAAACTGCATTTTTCTGGGGTGAACTTGAGGTGGAATGACGCCTCCCTGTGGATCAATCCTGCCCATCACCTTCACCTTTCACCATTTTTCAATTCTGTTGAGAAGAGAAACAGTTTGAACGGAGGTTTGAGTCACACACATCTGATTCACTTTTACATTTATGGATTTCACAAACTTCTGAAGTCCGTTTCTCGAGTCGTTTTCCGCTGTTTGGATCCAACAACCACAACAATGACGACGTCCGAATCCCAAAACTAAAATATGACAATATCAGAACCAGAAACAAAAGTGATGTGGTTCAAAAGACTTGAAAAGATCGACAATTGACCGATGACCGAAAGTCTGAAATTCAGGATGCATGCATTATAAAGCCAGGGAATCAGGAAGTGCACGTTAGAATGCTAGTAATAACAACCTTGGACATCGTTTAAAATTAATTTGTTCTGTTTTTCACATTTTCAGACGGTAAAAAACAGGTACAGCGCCTTAAAAAGAGTCAGAAACTCTTTTTTTTTTTTTTTTTTTTTTTTAAAGCTACAGTACATAACTTTCTGGAGGTGGTAACAGAAAGTTAAAACCATACTGCGGAACTTTCTCCGTGGATACGCACAAGCTTAAAGTCAGACTGCGGAAGAAAAAAGAAAAGAAAAACAAAACAAACAAACTCAGGTTTAAGAGACGTTTTTCAGAGCGATGAAACTCAAACTGAAAGAAAAAACATGCTTTTATTTTTTGATAAAAAGTTCCATACTGTGGCTTTACTGCAGCTGTAATCATCAGTCAAACCATGAGATTCATAATAATAACAGTGAGAAGTCCTACAAATGGCGTCCAGAACTCGCCATGACACAAACACATGGAGGTCCTCAGAACACACAATTTGCATTAGAAACATTGTTTTATTTTCATCAGTCCCCACAAATAAAATAAAAACATTTATTGCGATTTAAACGTCCCAAACCACACAAAAAAAAAACGACTCTTATGAGCTTTAAGTCCTGTTCTGATGTTCTGATGTTCTGATGTTCTAAAGTTCTAAAGTTCCTGGTCACACACACGGAGCTGGAGTCGTGTTTGTTTCTTTCACACGTTTGATTTTAAGTCATTTTCAGGTCAACGGCTCCTTTTCCCTTTAGTTCAATATGTTCTTGTTCAAATTGTAAATATTTTAGTTTCTAAAAAAAAAAAAAAAAAAAAAAAATTACAAAAAAACTGAAAATGATTTAATTAAAGTGTGTGGAGTTTAAATATAAAAGTAAAAACGTGAATGAAACAAACACAAGTCCAGATCTGAGTGAAACATCAGAACAGAAACACAGAGAAACATGTAGGCCACAGGTGTGTGTGTGTTGTGTGTGTTTTTGTGCGTCTGTGTGTGTGTGTGTGTGTGTGCGTTTTTGTGCGTCTGTGTGTGTGTTTGTGTGTGTTTTTGTGCGTCTGTGTGTGTTTGTGTGTGTTTTTGTGCATCTGTGTTTTTGTGCGTCTGTGTGTGTTTGTATGTGTTTGTGTGTGTTTTTATGCATCTGTGTGTGTTTTTATGCGTCTGTGTGTGTTTGTGTGTGTTTTTGTGTGTGTATTTGTGTGTATTTGTGTGTTTGTGTGTGTTTTTGTGCGTCTGTGTGTGTGTTTGTGTGTATTTGTGTGTGTTTTTTATGCGTCTTGTGTGTGTTTATGTGTGTGTTTTTGTGCGTCTGTGTGTGTTTGTGTGTGTTTTTGTGCGTCTGTGTGTGTTTGTGTGTGTTTTTGTGCGTCTGTGTGTGTTTTTGTGTGTGTTTTTGTGCGTCTGTGTGTGTGTTTGTGTGTGTTTTTGTGCGTTTGTGTGTGAGGCACTGGCTGCATAGGCATTTTCCTGTCGTGAGGCAGACGAGTTTATGAAGAGTTTCCGGGACGTAACGACAGAAGAAGAAAACGGCATCGCTCCGACTCCGCCTCCGGACACGCCCACTCCCGCCCACTGCCCATATATGGTTAAAGCTTCCACGATGCAAAAACACAAAGACACGACATTATAAAGAACACACTTCGTTAAAAATATAGAAGAAGACACACAAACAAACACTGCAAAAACCAACACGCGCCGACTCCTTTCAATTCTACTCGTCTGAACAGGTTTGACGTAAAAAAAGTCTCGTTTCTGCTCCTTTTTCCGCCGTTGCAGATCAGATTTGTGCGTTTTTATTCTTCCAAATTAAACGAAACAGCAGAGGGCGCTAAAGGTCCGACTGAGAAACGGAGACGCCCCGCCCAGTTTAGCAGCTCCGTTTGAAATCGTTTCGTCGTTTCAAATGTCAAATGTTCATGTTCAAATTGTAAATATTTTAGTTTTTAAAAAAAGGACAAGGCAAAAGGTCCGAGTTCCGTTTGTTCTTTTGAATTTCAATTAAGAACCAAAAACAATAAAATGGGAAAACTGTTATTTTATTGTTCCGTTTTCAGTGTCGGGGAGTAACAGATTACAAGTACCAGAGTAATCAGAGTACAAATGATGAGTAACTGTATTCAGTTACAGTTACTGTTTCAGTGAGTTTTAATTGGATTACAGTTACTTTGTTGAAATAAATGGATTAAACAGAGGGATTTTACTGTTTTCACATTTTGGGCTAAATCCCTTTTCTTTTTTTCCTCTGTTATTCCACTTATGACCGGAAACAAAACCAGGACTAAACCAGGACTAAACCAGGACTAAACCAGGTCTAAACCAGGACTAAACCAGGACTAAACCAGGACTAAACCAGGACTAAACCAGGACTAAACCAGGACTAAACCTAAACCAGCTGTGTGGACGTGTTTCTTCGTCTTTTATCAATAATATTTTTAATTTGGTTCAGTAAAGTTTGGACTTTTTATTTTCTTTTATCAGATAAAACTTCTTATGTGAAGATTTCCTCGTCTTTGTTTCTCTACAACAAATCAAGTAATCCAAAGTAATCAGATTACATTACTCACTTTAAGTCATTTAATGGATTCTGTTACAAACTACATTTGGGGTGAGTAATCTGTAATCTGTAGGGGATTACATTTTAAAGTAAACTTCCCAACACTGTCCGTTTTAGTGTGAAACAAAAATAAATAAAATGTGGCTGTAAAAGACGACGACGTTTTTGTCCACGAAACGGCAACGATTTTTCAGATTCGTCTTTCAGCAGCAGAACTTGAAATAAACCAGAGAGAATAAAATATCGACGTTAAAATGGGCACCGAGAGAAGTCGACGCTAAAACCGGAAAATTTAAATAAACCGTTTTCCCAGTTTATCGTTTTTCGTTCTTTTCCGAAATGCAAAAGAACAAACGGAATGTGGATCTCTGAAATACAAAATAGTAGAAAACAAAACCGATGACGAAGTGTCGCGTTCGGTGCGAGTCGTTCTTCTCCAGATCATCGGACGCTGGACGAGGCCGAGAACCGAAACCCGCACGACGCAGAACGAAGAACGTGCAAACTGGACGGAGAAAAGGCAAAAAAAAAAATATCTGCAAAAACTCAAACTCGATCGTTCACGTGCAGAATTCAAAGAGCGTTTCGTTTTTGCAGTGAAAACACGAATCTGAACTTGAGTCTTTCCTTTTTGTCGGGTTTGGCGCTCGGAGTCCGACGCTCAAACCCGACTGACGTGAATAAATAAAGCACTAAAGCGGAGCGGAGTCTGTCCACGTCCACGTCCACGTCCACGTCCACGTCCACGTCCATGTCCAAGTCCAGTTTCAAATTAAATAAAAAAAAAAAAAAGAAAGAAAGAAAAAAAATCAACTTTTAAATCTTTTGGATCTTTGCTGTAATTTTATCACTCAAAAGTTTTAAATGTACTTTTTCAATATGTTTCAAATTCAAGGAAAAAAAAATAAAAATCACCTTTAAAATATTCAGCACAAATATTTTCAAGTCCCTCTTGGATCTTTGTTGTGAATTTTTACACTCAGAATTTTACACTTTGAATTTTACCCTCTGTTGACTTTGTTAGTTTTAAAGGGGAATTCATTTTAATTCAGATTTAAACTCTCGTGTAAACGTGGTGATTATTTCTCGTGGCGTTGAACAGGACGAGTCGAGGCGTCTGGATCGTGGGCAGATTTTCTCCGTGTGCTTCGTAACCTGTGCTTCAGTCCAAACGCTTCTGAAGAAAACTAAACTCAGTCTTTTCTTTAGTAAAGGAAGAACCGCCGCCCGCTCCGCCCGCCAGGAGCGTCGGTCCACGGTGGGCGGAGCGTCGGTCTGTGGCCGGCGGGCGGAGCGTCTGTCCAGTCCAAACTCGCCCTCGCCCGGGTTTTATCGGCAGGGGGGTTCCGTGTGTGCGGGACTGGGCCGGTACAGCTGCTGCACCCGGACCGGCCGCCCCGCTCCCCCACCCGCCCGGCAGCTGTCCGATCAGCCTCAGCCCCACCGCCGACGGCAGCGGGGGCGGCAGGGGCGGCAGGGGCGAGGGTGGTGGCAGGGGGCGGTGCTGCCGGTGGGCGACAGCGGGCAGTGGGGCACCAGGATGGCGGGCGTCAGGCCGTAGCGCACCTGGAAGACTCGGAGCGGGCCCTGGGGGAGGAAGCCGTTGGGTCTGTGGGGTTCCGGGGCGGGCGGCGGGTCCCGGGGGTCCTGCGGGGCGGCGGCGGCGGCGGGGTCCGGGGCGGGGCCGGCGGCGGGTTTGGCCTGGCACAGCTCCTGGATCTTCTCGGCCTGGGCTCTCCGGACGTGGTAGGTGCGGCGGCAGCGCTGGAAAGAGTCCAGGAAGTCGTCCAGGCCCAGGTTCCCCTCCATGAACTTCTCCAGCAGCTCCTGACGGGACGAGAACCAACGTGAGGAACGAGAACCAACGTGAGGAACGAGAACCAACGTGAGGAACGAGAACCAACGTGAGGAACGAGAACCAACGTGAGGAACCAGAACCAACGTGAGGAACGAGAACCAACGTGAGGAACGAGAACCAACGTGAGGAACGACCGCGACTGAGGCTGTGACGCCAACGGGAGGCACTGCTCTGTCTCAAACTCTCTGACTCAAGTTAAACTTCACCAAAAACATGGACGGGACCGGTAAAAACAGATAATACTCCCTACAACTGTACAACAACTCACCCTTATGTCACATATAATACTCCCTACAACTGTACAAACAACTCACCCTTATGTCACAGATAATACTCCCTACAACTGTACAACAACTCACCCTTATGTCACAGATAATACTCCCTACAACTGTACAACAACTCACCCTTATGTCACAGATAATACTCCCTACAACTGTACAACAACTCACCCTTATGTCACAGATAATACTCCCTACAACTGTACAACAACTCACCCTTATGTCACAGATAATACTCCCTACAACTGTACAACTCACCCTTATGTCACAGATAATACTCCCTACGACTGTATGGAAAAGGTTTGCTGTTTAAATCTGACACACAGCGGGTTTATTTATGTAAAATGTTCCGTTTTACGCGCCGTCACGCTGGAGGTGTTCTACGTGTACCTCTACGGCGGAATGTTCAGCCGTTTCCTGAATTACTCGAGAAAAAAACAGTTTGTCGTGAAATGTTCTGACGCGAATTTACAGATTTATACGACAGTTTTTGTTCTCTCTCTCGTCTCCACGGTGACCGCTGAACATCCAGCCATAGCCCCACGCGCAGCTCCCCCCCTCGTGTGTGTGTGTGTGTGTGTGTGTGTGTGGGTGGTTTTGTTGGTACCTCGGACTGCTCCTCGGCTCGGGTCACCTCGTCCTGCAGGAGGTGCTGGGCGCTCCGGACGCTGCCCCTGTGCCCTCGAGCCTCTGAAAACAAACAAACAAACGGAGAAAAGATTAAAACCACAAGAAGGAGCTCGGCAGGTCCGCCCCTGTCACCCCCCCGCTGCCCCTGTCACCCCCCCGCGCCCTCCACACGTGAACAACGCTGTGTCCTTGGGCAAGACACTTAACCCCCCGCCGGGTAAAAATGTGACCAAACTGTACGGCTCCTCTAACTCCTCCATCCTTACAACATATAATACTCCCTACAACAACAGATAATACTCCCTACAACTGTGCAACAACAGATAATACTCCCTACAACTGTGCAACAACAACAACAGATAATACTCCCTACAACTGTACAACAACAACAACAGATAATACTCCCTACAACTGTGCAACAACAGATAATACTCCCTACAACTGTGCAACAACAACAACAGATAATACTCCCTACAACTGTGCAACAACAGATAATACTCCCTACAACTGTACAACAACAACAACAGATAATACTCCCTACAACTGTGCAACAACAACAGATAATACTCCCTACAACTGTGCAACAACAACAGATAATACTCCCTACAACTGTGCAACAACAACAGATAATACTCCCTACAACTGTACAACAACAACAAATAATACTCCCTACAACTGTGCAACAACAACAGATAATACTCCCTACGACTGTACAACAACAACAGATAATACTCCCTACGACTGTGCGGTGTGGTTCTAGTCGGGTTCAGACGATGTGGGTTTGAGTTTTTCTTTTCAAAACATCGACGACAAAAATAACAATAATTAAAATAAATCACAGTTTTTCTGAGACCAAATGTTTGGGTTTTGTCTCACGCTCACAAACCTGAACCAGGTCGACTCGAGTCAGACCAGAGGTGGGGACAAGGCGTCCGTTCAGTCCTGGTTTAGTCCTGGTTTAGTCCTGGTTTAGTCCTGGTTTAGTCCTGGTTTAGTCCTGGTTTAGTCCTGGTTTAGTCCTGGTTTTAGACCTGGTTTAGTCCTGGTTTAGTCCTG